TAATTTATGGGCTAATTTTCATTTTTGGATGAACTAACCCTTTAAGGGTGTTTTTTGTGTGTGAAAACAAGAAAAAATTGATTAAAAAAGTGATTTTTTAAAGTCCATCTGTGAGACTGTATTTCTCTCCTACTTTCTTTTAACACTCCTTCCTTCTCGTTCAATAGACTGTTTTCTATTTCTGCTTCTTCATGGTGCTCTCTTGTCGCCTTCTTTTGTTTTCCTCTTTAATCAGGTCACCCCTCTATTCTCTCTCTGTCTTTCTCTCTCCATCACCTCGCCTTTTGTTATCACAGAGCCACCTGTTTGTTTTTAGGGTGATATTAATGTTTTAGGAAGGTGTCTCACACGTTGTTTTTGTGATTGACATTGAGGGACTGAGAGCTCTGTAGAAATCTCTAAGGAAGGGTCCAGCGAAAATCAATTTCCTGTTCAGACCAAAATGATGAGTAATTGCAATCACAGACCACGTTTTAAAAGCGATTGAGTAAAAGAGAGGTCATGAAATGTCCGTTTGTTAAAATCAATGTAAATTGCCATTTACAACCAGTTTTATCGGTAATTTGACACTTTTTGTGGGAAAAGGATATTCTACTAAATAAATAAATAAATGTGAAAATACTCAAATGATTACAATTGTATGACGAGACTTTGTTTTATCTTCAGGTATCGACTGGATCGTGAAAAGAGAGCGTTATTAAACATAATGTAGCCAGACCGAATGAATGTTTGCTAAAACAATGCCTAAATAAAATTATGTGAATCAGATCTGAAAGTTATGGCAGATGGAAATATATTCAACAACTAAGTAATCTTTGGTGCTTTTCTGTCATTTTTGGAGCTAGGCATCTTCAGTCCCCTTTTCACTTATATTATATGGGAAAAGAGCAGCCAGGACATTATGCAAAACATCTGTTTTTGCGTTCCACAAAAGAAAGAAAGTCATACAGGTTTAGAGCAACATAAGGATGAGTAAATAATGGCAGAATCACCATTTTCCTTTTAAAATAGGTGCAGCTCACCTCTCTTTTCTCCAAAGTACAGGGTCTGCTGAGCCGTGTTGGACCACTGGAGAGAGGAGTTATCATTTTCCTTCACACTGCAGGTCAGGGTCACCACCCCACCCACTGCCACCGTCTCATCTTGGGTCACTGGCTGGAAGGGGTCATCATCTGAGCAACAGGACAGAGATAAATGAGAAGATATTAGAGTCAAAAAGACAAAAAATGACATCATGGAATGAGCTATAGTTAGAGACAGGAGGAGACAGGGAGAAAATGAGAGTGAGACTTAGGTGAAAATTAGATGCTTCGTCCCCATCATCATGATCTTTGAGTGCAGTGCTGTGTATTTCTTGCAAAAAATAAAAATAAAAAATGGCATCATTAACGTTGCCTGCACCTCATGCTGTGAGAATCGCCAGAGAAGGAAACTGAAGACCAGTAAATGCAAAAAAAAGAGAGAGGAAGGAAACTGAACAGGTATGATAATTAAAACGTTGACTGGTGTCTCCAAGATTCTAAAGAAATTTAACATATCAGAATAGAAAATATGTAATTAGTCATGCTTGCTCATATCTCACATGTGCTTATGGAATAAGAGATTAAAAAAAACCTAAGTATTACATTTCAACATGTAATTTATCCTGCACCATTTTGATACATGCATGAATAATACATTAAATCATGTGGCCTGTGCTATTACTTTTTTTTTTTGCTATCACACAAATCAGTGATCTGAAGTGTGGTTCTCACCTGGTGAAAAAGACACTTAAGGAGCGACCAATCCAGGTCAAATTGTAATATCAGATTAGCACAGAAACTTGGGGGTGGGTCCTCTCAAAGGAGCCAGAAAAGCCTAGCAGCTGCATAGCAACACCCTGGCAATCACCAGAGTAAAAGAGAGTTTATGAAATGTCCGTTTGTCAAAGTCAGTGTAAACTGCCATTTACAACTACAACTAGTACATCTGTGTAACTTTTCAAATTTTGGATGGATAAAAGGCCTACAACAAGTAGGTCAACTACACTTAAATCAAAACACGACTAGTGTCTGTGAATATTAAGCCGCAAAAATACCATTTACATATGAATCCTGCATGTTCTGCGCATCTCTGTGTGTGAATGAACGGCACAGACGTGCGGGAGTGAAGCGTGAGCTTCAATATATATATATGTTCAATATATGAGCACATGAACATAATCTCTAGAACTGCTTAGAGAGTCACTTTATGAGCATTTGACCATTTCTTTTGAGAAAAACATCATATCATATACTAACAGAACCCTAAAGGTTTTTACAGCAACCCGTCAAAATAAAAGTTCGGTTTAACTTAAAGAAACCATGACAGAAATTTTACTCAATGTAATGATAGTACTACTACTATTAATAAAATTATTATTAAAACATTGTTTTTAAAGGAATATTTACCAGAAAAATTTACCAGAATTTATTTAGCAGAAAAAATGTAAATACACAAAACAGTATTTCTGAGAAAAAAAGAAAGAAAATAATAAATTATTTGTTTATAAAATCAGTTAATTAGAAATGTTTTTGATTATTAATATGAAATGAAAATTTAAATGGAAATGTGTGTATAAAGGCCAGATGTAATGCCAATGTGAGTCTAGCTGTATGATAATTCCGCCCTGGGCGGCCCATGCTCCACTTTACCCAATAATTACCACTTGGGTTATAATCGATGACCTTTTTAATGCTGACCAGTGCTGAATGAACTCTAGGCAAAGCGCTGTCTGAATGTTATACGCTAATGCCAGCTTGAAAGGAGCGCTAATGTTTAGTGAATGCTGGGCAAATGCTGGCTTGGCAATGGCCAAGCTCTGGACTCAAAGAGATTAAACACAGGACAAAACTTGGCTGAATGTTGGGCGTATGCTGGCTGAATGACGGGGCAAATATTGCTAATTGCAAGGCTAACATTGGCTGAGTGCTGAGTTAAACTTGGCCCGACGTTGAAATCGCACTAGCCTAATGATACTCGCTTTTTGTCAATCTCAATCTTGGATTGATTCAGGCTAAATGCTGTCTTAATTCTAGCCTGATCTTTTGCTAGCACTGGGGATTAACCTACTGAATTGCAGGCCAAATGCCGGCTTTCCACGGGCAAATATGTGGGACATACGCAGGTGCGCTGGGCGGGCATGAAGCCGGGTCGAACTCAGCCTGATTAGCCTAAAAGGCTTTAACGAGACGCTGCTTTTAAAAATAGAGCTTGAGCAGAAGGCATGAGAAAAGGCTAAGGCTCAGCATCTACATCACAGAACATCTGGCAATGTGTGTGTGCGAATGTCCAAACCAACACAGTGGTAGAATTAGTGTTAGCTTTCTAAACCCAATGAACCTATGCCAACAGATAATAAGCTAAAATTAGCCTTTAGCTTTAGCACACACGGTGCGGGCTACTTATCGGCAACCAATTAGAGCGGTGTTAGCAGTTAATAAGCGATTAGTGGGTCACACACACACGCTCTCTGTGCAGTGGACAACTGCTGCAGGGGGCACTTACTGAGACTCTCAAAATGGCATCTGATCCATTTAACTGGTTATGTCAGGACACTGACTCAACTCTAATCACTGAGTGGATGGAGTGAAGTGGAGATGGGCAGAGAGAGAATATGGGTGAATTCAATTTCAAAGAGAACACCACTATGTCCTACTCACTCCAAAGGGCAGAGCACTTAAAGTGAGTAGTCTGAAGTGTGCAGGCGTTACCGTCTCATTTGTGCGTGATTGGAACACAGTACACAAATATATGTCACTGCCACTTTATTTTGAATCACAATGGTATCTTGATAACGTACAGTATGCAGCAAAATTAATGGCATAGTTTGACTAAAAATTAAAATTCTGCCTTCATTTACTAACCTTCATATTGTTCCAAATGTGCCAGGAACAAAAAAGAAGATATTTAATAAATATTATAAAAATTAATAGATTTAATAAATGTAAATAAATTTAATAGATATTTGATTTAATAAATATATAAAAAGACTCAGCCGTACCTTTTGCATTAGGAACCACATTTTACATTGAATCAACAGGTGTTTATAAACAAAAGTTGAGAAAAATGTTTTTAAAATGTTTTCAACAACAAAATGATTGTTTCAAGTCACCATGAAATCAAAACTGACAATTCTTTTTTTTATAGAATATGAATAATATTGATGACTTCTGATGACTTACACTGACGCAAAGGCGGGCCAACAATCCAGCAACCTGTCACTCATATGAGCTCACAGCAATTAGTAAACGACTATGATCCAATCAATCCCCGAAGGACAAAATCTAGCCCGCCCAACATTTTTTCTTGTTCAAGGAGCTGTTTCACTCAGTTATATCACAGAACAGAAGAAAAGACAAAGCCAATTTCTGTTTCATGGTTTTGGAAACAGCTAATAATTCAAACCTAGCAGTGCAAATCTTTTGGGTTGATTTGATTCTTGATTCACAGGTTTTTTTATTCAATTCAAAAGCCATTTTTAACATTTTTGAAGATCTGCAAATTCAAAATGATTCATCTTAAATTAAATTTGATTTGATTTAATCATTCATTTCTCTTTTTAAAAAGCTCAAACTGTGTTTATCCTCAATGCTAGTGAACCCTGTATTTAATGTAGCCTGGATTTTACATTTAGCTTGTTTCATCTTCCACAAAGCGACAGATGAATTTGTCCCAAAATACCGCAGAGTTTGACTGGACAAACTGCTTTTGATATAAACAACAAAAGACATGGAAAGTGCTTTCTCGTTCCTCTGAGCAGCTGATAAGCCTGTTTATTTAGCTTTGTACGATCATATGGTTAGTTAGAATTTATTATTCCCATTTAGCATTGTTCATCCTGCCGTCTACAGCCCTGCAACCCATTTTTGGGTCACGACCCAGCAGATGAGAAGCGCTGCCTTAGAGTATTTATTTACACACACACACACACATACACGGTTGAGTTAAAAACACCCAGACAGTGTCATTCTCTATCACATCTCGCTCTCTCTTTCTCTAGGTGTCTCTCGCTCACACACACAAATGTGTGAGGGTGTAGAAAGCACACAGCCTATATTTAAAGCAACATCGTTTACACCCTCCTCACATAGACGAGAGAGAGAGCAGAGAGGACGGCTGCTGAAAAGACACAAAAGCGAAAGATTACAGATAAACAGATGATTACGGCGAAAGACTGACGAAGAAAGCCAAAAGGAGAGACAGAGAGAAATAAACGAGAGGAAGGGAGGGAGAAGATGAGTGTTTGTATGTGAGAGATAACACAGGTTGAAGTGTAATAAATACTGTCCAAAAACAGACAGTGAAAAATAACCCCTTCATCTCTCCATTTCCCTTTTCCTCCTTTCTCATCTCTCTCCATCTGTGCTTCACTTCTTTCTTTTTCCTCCTCCTTCCATCTGTCTCTCTCTGTCTCTCCATATTTTCCCTCTGGTATTCTCTCACCTCTACGCCCTCTCCTCCGTCTCTCTGCCTCTGTTACGGTCTCTCTGTTTCCTCCGCTGCATATGTAGATGTCTATTTTGTAGCCTGATTAACGTTTGATTGGCACTAAACATCCTGTTGGTTCCACTTCGATGTCCAGCTGTTTGTGTGTGTGTGTAGCAGCTGGACTAAATTAAGTCCTTGTTGCTTTATTGATTGGTCAGGCTGCACACATTTATATATTTGATGAAGATTTGGTTTGATCTTCTAACTGCTGGAGCATATTTGCTTAATCGTAGTCTGGCAGTGTGTGTGGGGGACCAAATATTGGTTTATGGAGCTCAATGGAGATGGGCTTCAACAAAATTAGAATTAGAATTCTGATAAAAATTACATTAACTTATCCATTGGCAAGATTTTAGGTTATACTGTACTTTATATGAATATATAAGGAAAAGTGTATATTGTAAATGCATTTTACTCTGCAAAATCATTTTAATTAACCAGCATTTTTATTAAAAATGTAAGATATATTCTATGAATACATTAGGTTAACTATCTTAGAAATTTTTTTTCAATTAAATGTCTTGTTTTACAGAGGTTTAGATTTTTTAATTGAAAACAAAACAAAACAAAACAAAAAGCTGTTTTTTTTGCAGCAAATTACTCTTGCTTTTATCTTGTGCAAAAAATATTATTAAAGATGAAGGTTAAATATACAGTGTGTGTG